TCTCAGTCTTAAGTACCACACATTTTAAAATGCAAGCAGTGTAACTTGTAATGGGTTCAAATCACATTTAGTGTACTTGATAAGTATTACTATTTGATTAATATTAAGTTATGGGGATTTATTGGATGAATCAATTTCTTGCTTTTGGAGGTCCATTAGGAACCAGGCTTTGCAGACATGCACTAGGCATATTCTTAAAAGCTTTAAAAGTAAAATACATAACTATAGTATGTACTAAGACAAAGAAAGATTAAATAAATCTATATTTTGCATTCACTTTAAGATGTCATCAATTTAGGCCTCTTATCTGCAATTTCCCGTTTTAAATAGTGCTTTGAATAACAAACCTGCAAAACTTCCAATAAACTGTCAGAAGGGAAAACCCATAGTTTAAACTTTCCCCTCATGGTTCACACACTGCCTTTGTTATTTGCAATAAATGTTACAAATTGAATTAACACTTGAGTGTTTGTGTTTTTCAGTTTTGATACTTTGAAAAGCATTGAAGGCAACCCACAAAGACATGCAAAATTGCAAAATTGTATTAGTACTCTGCAATCAACATTAAATTCATGAGCAACTTTCTAAAATGTTGTAAAGTAAACGTTAAAGTATAAACAAGAGGTGGCTCAATTAGAGCGGTATGATGTTACAGTTCTGTACAGATATAGAATAAGGAGCACTGCTTATCCAGGATAGAAGCCACAGACAGGCACATGAACCAGTGGCAAATACTACCGTACTTTACATAGAAAAAAAAAACGTATTCAATGTGCACCAGCCTGTTTCTTTACATTCTTATACATTAATTAAAAATATCAATTTATACTGTTTTAATATGTAGACTCTTCAGTCTGTTTGCAAAATGCACCACCCATCTTTGAGAGACTTGAGAAATTGCTTCACCAGATGAATTAAGGGTGAAGCTTAGGCAGGCCGGATTGTGCCAACCCGGAGTAAAAATGAACTACTGTAGGACACTGCAGTTAGCACTCCTACTGATACAAACTGACTTTTCAGAAAGCAAGTAGGCTTGACTTCAGTTTAATGTTTCATCCTAAGGATGGTACAGTGCCCTTAGTCACCACGCTAGGGAAGTGGTTCTGGAAAATTCTGGGCCACAGGGAGAGTGATCTCTTCTCAGCCACAGCAACCTAATTTTCCTTGGAGATTTCCCCTTTCCCTTTTCTCTTTTCCAGTTACAGCTCCAAACCTTCTCTGGAATTTTAAAACCCAGCAGAATAATACTGTAGATATATGCACAAATGTTAATGTTTTTTTTATTTAGTAAATCATGTCATTTTTAGCATGAGACATCAAAGCAATTTCTTCACAGGCAGGCAAAACAACACTTTAGGCTGTTGAGGAATTTTCAGTTTTTTAACATACAAAAATGAATTGAGAGAATGGTGTCTGATGCTTTTTTTGAATTTCTCATTCAGTTGGCTTTTAATGTTAAGAACTTTATATGTTCTCATGATGTTGCCATTATTGTCAACAAGTGGATACCTAAGAGAAATGTACCAGTCTTACAAACTTGAAATTATTTATGGAGCACACATTAGTCATCATGACATTTGTTTTGATATGGTGCTTAATGGGTTGAAAGTGTTGCTCTTCCTAAGTAATGTGGGGAAAAAACAGTACAATACCAAATTACCCGAGTATTTCTCTGAATTAAAAACAAATTGAAAAATTAACTCACATTTATCCATGTTTTGAAAGGAAACAAAAATCTCTAAACCAATTAAGTAGGAAAATATTCCCCCTAAGAAGAGAAGAATCACTGGCATTAATTTATTTTGTTTATGATATGCTGTGTTTAGTATATACAGCCATGATCAGAAAAACATACTGTAAACCAATAATACAAGAGTTCAACACCACATACAGTACCATATCTATACCTACAGGTATGGGTACCATACCAACAGTATACAGTACAGTATATGAATTTTCCAAGATACAGTATAAACATTATATACCACAATCAATATAAAAGGTCAAAAATATTAAAATCTATAGAGTTTAAGACTGTGTACTACAACATCATAAACATATTAAACACAGATACAGTGGATATGTTTTTGCATGCACATTGAACTTTTTAATGAAAAGGTATAAAGACTTAACTGGCAGATAAAGTCTGTCTCTTCTGTCACTTACTAATGTTACTCTTTTAGTCAGAAATATTTGTCATAAAGTAAATGTAGAAGGCTTTGTAACAATACTGCAATAACAAAGAAATCCTACCACTCTCACAAGACTTTGTTCTTCTATTATAAGAAAATTGCAAATTGTTTCTTTGAAAATCCTGTTTTCAAAGAAACATCCAAGTTTACTTTAAAGCACAGACAACTGTACCTTCACCAGTTATTTTCAATCTGTTGATCACAACCAGTTAATACTATGGCAACCCATTATTTAGAGTCTGCTCATGCATTAGTACCACCTTGTAGCACAAGCACTGTCATTCAGTCAGAGGTTATATGGGAACTTAAAAAAGATCATGGGCTGATGCTGTCCCAGACCCAATACTGGATTGTAACTGCATTATCAAAACATCAGGCATTGACAGATGTAAGGCTTTCAAGAGGTTTCAGTGTCCAAAATGAAATACCGTACAGTTAAATGTAGCATTTGCTTTATTGCAACTTGTATTCAAATGCACTCAGTGTCTTTCTCCTTTGTGGATCAGCAATGTGTTCTGTCATGTCAGCTGTCTTGTTCTATGTCTGAGATGGCTTCCTTACACCAGTTCTCCTTAGATGTAAATTCTCTATTGCTTTTCCCCATAGCAGCAATGTGTTTTTTTTTCTCCTGAAAGACTCCAAGAACTGCATCCAGTACTAGCTTCTTGAACTGTATTGCTTACTTATTGACTTAACTTTGGAGCTGTGTATTATTTTTAAATTAAATCAACTTACATGAACAATTAATATGAACCTTCATTTGCCTCCTTCAAAAACAAGCACTGTCGAGCCAGCCTGTTTTTCCACCTACTGACCTTCCCCACAAGTCTGCAGCTTAAGTCTTGCACCAGTGAAGAGTGGACTATAGGGCTGAACTCACAACACAAATCATAAGTTAAGCCATCCAGGACCATAATTATGTTCAAGCACTGGACTGCATTTTTCAGAAAATACAAACATTTGTATGTATACTGTACATAACATTTTATAGTCTTCAGTAACATACATTAACTATAACATTTACCCATATATCATTTTCTATGAAAAAGGAAAATTGTATCAGTTATGACAGGTTTTCTAAGATTCCGAGATACCATTCTTATGCCTATGGTTTATAACAGCTATTTCTGAATTTATCACATATAATGGAAGAATGTATCACATGCAGACCCATACAGTATATCCTCAACATTAAGGAAGATATTTTTAGACTGAAAGCAACAATGTCTGTTTTTTGTTATCTCAGATCTCAGAACAGCAATATTACATCAGAGAAAACTGCAGTGAAAAAGCAGTGGAGTCTATAAATGTGGAGGTGCAGACATAAGTGAAAAATACAGTCACCTGTATTTTTACATTTCAATGAAAAGAAAAATGTACAAAGTAACACGTTAAACCTCAAATTTGCATCACAAAATAATTGAAATTTCCAGGTATGCAATTTAGAAGGAGGAAACCAAACTTCGGGTAGCATGAATGACCCTATCACATTGTATAGAAGCAGGCTTGTGAAAACATCTCTTTTAATCCAAAAGAAATATTGCTTTCAACTTTTAGACGGTTTTGCCAACAAATATTACTTACTTGTTAACTCTGCATGTAGATCACAATGGAACATTTCTGCAGTGAAATTGTCTGCACAACTTGAACTTACTCGCTCATACTTCACATTACATTAGTCACTACAGTGACTAGTGAGCAGAAAGGGCCACTTCATACTGTATCACAATGTGCGCAAAGTTCATGATTTTGTGCTTAGTTCAGAATTTGTATTTTTTATACCGAGATTTGATAACCTGTCTGAGAAACTGGGACTGCAGTTCTCCTTTAATTCACAGGTGCATTTAAATTATCACTTGAAATTATTCTATAAATATGCTATCATTGACATATTTCAACCAAAAAATTGAAAAACATTATAAATTTGCTATTGTTTCAGAAACAGGGTGTCTGATATTTTGCTAAGCTGAAAAAATGAATTTCCCATTATCTTCAGTCAGGCTTTTCTTGAAATAATTTACAGTACAGTATGTGCACAACTTAAATTTATAAAGAATGTATTTTCAATGATTAACACGTATGTCGATATTTCAACAGCACAGAACAGCAAATTCAGCATTTCCAAAGAAATAATATTTTCTTAAAATACGAAGAGATCAATGGTGCCAGTCACCAAAGTGGTGATGATTAAAAATACTTCAAAATTAACCAAATTATCCATCAACTGTGGGCTTTTATGGATCATGTTGATCACTACATTGCCGTCATTATGTCTTTTGGATCTGAACTATTTAATTAAAACATCCCACAGCAATGTTAATTAGCCTTTTTTCTTGAATTATGATTCTAAATGTACTGTAGGAGGGTAAATGCTATTTTATTAAAAAAGCTAAACACAATAAAACTATTTTATTAAACACAAATGCAGTGTTATACAGTCAAAAACAGCAGACGGGGAGCAAAAAAAAATCAAGCATACAGTAATTCTTACTGCTGGTATCTCAGCTTTACCCTTTCAAGGACAAATGGTTTACACTGCCCAAATTGCAATTAAACATTAACTTCTCCTTGCTTATTTTTTTAGATAAACAGCCCTTTCTGAGATTCAAAGACTTGTAATATTGCCTATGGTTGCAATGTAAGCTTGTTCATTATTTTGAGTCAGACTTTTCCCAGATTGGCAGCACTGTGTTTTTTACATGTAATTTACTATACCATTCCTTTCCCAAAAACCTCAGTCACATTCACAGACTCATTGACAATGACAGACCAGAAAAATATGCAGAGAATCAGAAGGTTTCTTCCTACCTTTTGGTTGGGGTGGGTGCCTCAGAAGACATCACCATGGTGTCGTTCATGTTATTTGGTAGTGGCCGTGGAGGGCTAAAAGAGAAACAATTCAGCAACAGTGAGTTACAACGGCAAGCATACTCGTCTTCAGAACTACCCATGCTCTCTTGCTACATGAATTTCCTATTTAACCACCCTTACCTCCTTTTATAATGCAATGGCTCAGTCAAATGGGGAGTGAAGTCATGCAGAAGCAATTGCTCGTACCATTCATAAATGACAGAAACAAACACTGACAAGAAGAAAGAAGAGCTGCCAAAAGATTTAATTGTGTCTTTCAAACTCAAAAAGACAATTTCCCCTGAAGAATAAACAAATTACCACCAAAACAATTTTATTTTCGAAACACCCTATTTTACAATACAATCAAATAAATAGAAAAAATAAAAATGATTTCATGATCAAATGAATGCTGTTTTGTTGTGATAAAAGCAAAGGACATTCTTAACCCATGCTTTTATCTACGATGAGAGTGTTAGAATACTGTATACTGTATGCAGTTGTATTTGTGAGCCAGAAACCATATTTCCTTTTTATAACTAGCTTTGTAGTTTTTCCCTAACAGTAGATAAGCTCAAATATGATTAACTATTACATCTGAGTCCATAGGAAAAGTTGAGGTTATTACAGAATTTTGAAAAGGGGAGTCATCCTTTTAAGCAAGAACATACTGTATTTCAGTTTATTCACCAAAATAAAACACAGCAGTGCTCTTTTCATAGAGAGTCTCTTCTCAGATTCCGTTCGGTTTTGAACCCTGGGGTGGTCACTCCCAAAAGAGGAGCTGCAATCTCCTTGAATTTCTGGAAAATAAAACCTTCGCCACTGAATGGACAGCTGAGTTAGTTTTTTTAATATAAGGAAGATGCTTTTGTACAAAAGTGACAATACCAAATACAGTAAGTCATTGTACTTTATAACAATGTTTCTCAACAGGCAATACAGGATGATGAAATAGTTTAAATTAAATTGAAGAATAAACAGGCCAAACACAGACAGGTGCAGAATAAGAATGAAAGTAGTCTGTTTTTGCATAGCTTTTCCAGAACCCTTTCAGCAGAAGCAATTTCCTGAAAGCCAATGAGGCAAAAGACCATCTGCCCTTGATGTAGCATGTCCTGAAACATATAGTGGCTCCCACCACAGCTGCACCTGGTACCACAATTAAACGAAAAACTGTTTAAAAACACTATGTGCATTGCATCTCTAAACATCACCATACTCTGCCATATTGAGAGCGTGCAACAGCCCTGTCATTGTTGCTGCCATTAACACTAACACGCTAAAGTGGTTTCTTTCTCCGTGCGGCACTGCTCTCAATTGTGCTCCCTTCGATATTCTGTTTCCTGAAATAGAACACACTCGTCAGTCTAACCAAGCCACTGATGTAAATCTCAGAGAATAAGCATGAAAATCGATAACTACATAAAACTAGACATTACTCCGATGTTCTGTTTTTGGAACTGCACATTTGCCCTTCAGTCAAACCTACTGCTATAGAAGAAAGCACAGACATCGAACTTATCAACTGAGCTTGGGCAATGCATTAAACCCATTAATTGTTTTCCTCCTATGTTTGAATATAGCAGAGACTAGTGACAGCAGGAATGTTGACATCACTGACTCGAGTAATAAAGTACCATCTGGCTCAATGAAAATACTTTCAGCATGCATTTCGCAGGTCTAGCATGCACAATGTACACAAAGTGGTGCTTAACATGATCTCTATTACTGAACTGTTTCTGAAACTTTTGATTTGATATTATTCAGTTCAAAGCCTAAAGAAAAATTAATTCATTTTTATGCCAACACAAATACTTGCTTCAGGTTTGATACGCAGTGGTTTGTGTGGTTTTCTTTTGTCACGCTAATGGAGCTAAAAAATGCTCAAGTTGAGCCAAACCTATTTATTCTCTCACACTGTTCCACACTCGCCTTCCGTATTAAAAGGATCTAACAGTATTACAAACTCACATGCTTACAACCACCTAATGATAGACAATTCATGTATATTCTATCAGAGATTCTCTAGACATTTCTCATTTCTCATTGTATTTTCTGATCCATTCTTCACAGTTGTTATACAAAATGGTTATATTTTTTAATTTAAAGAAGAAAAACTACATATAGTTATTTAATTTGAAAGTGATAGTAGGCAGTATATTGTTTTAATGTAGCAACTCTTGATATCTTATTTTCCAGAACTGCAAACTTTGACTGGATAATACTTGGAAGAAAGAAAATTAAAACTAAACACTCCATGTTCTATTTCAATTACCTTAAATTAAATAAAGCATGCTGTAAAAAACATACAAAAACATTATTACACTCTACTGTTCTAAGTAGTATTTTTGCATTCTAGGCTTTGTAGATATGTCTTAAATCTAGGTATTCATTGACACAACTCTGACAAATAGAAGGATCAAAGATCACTGAAACAAGAGAACAACTTACTAACCTCCTTTGACTGTAATGCACTTGTCAGGCTACCAAAACACATCCAGCCTTCTCAGCTGTGTGCCAAACGTATCCCTGACTCACAGTCTACTGAATGAGCATCTTAATGCACTACATTGCTGCTGTCTCTAAGGAAACAGAGGAGTCACATGACCAACAGGGCAAAAAAAAAAAGTCACATGACACTGCAGCCAATAGTATTTTGCATCAAAAAGAGGGTTGTAAGCTGTGCCTGATAGGAGGGTTACAGAACTGCACACAGGCTCAGGGCTCCCTATTCAGACAAAAACAGTGAGGTAGCAGGAATATGCAATTTCCTTTCTACATACTGTACACTGCTTCAGTCAATATAATCAATATTATTCAGCCTGCACTTGAGAAATAAAGGAAAGGTCATGCTAGTCTAATGTTTTAAAACCCTTTTAAATGCCTAAAGTATAGGGTCACAAGCTTGACTCTGTAAATATCACGATAATGTTTGAAATGGAACATACATTTTTGTTTTACTAAAGTATTTTTATTGCTGACTGGAGCAATCTAAAATATGTCCCCCAATGGTAACTATCTCGATATAACAAAGTGGTGGACATAAGGGATAATATTAGATAAAATGATTAGTTAAAGAGGTTAATTTATCACTCTGGTGAAACAACGACTTAAATTTTTTTTATGTATTTATTTTATATCTTTTCTTGTTATGAAAAGTCTTGTACAAACTTGTATGTACATTTTATACAACTGTAGCTTTAGTTACAATATAAAACAATGCAGTGCATCTGACCTCTGGAGTTTAATGTCCTGCAAGGTATTTTTAGTCCTTCACTCTTAAAGTGTAATATGTTTGGTTTGCCTGTCCTTTATCTGACAGGTTTAACTTTCCTCTTCAACAGCCAGTCTCATCTTCATCTTTGAGTTTTATTCTTAAGAAAATGTGTATCATCCTTTAGGAGTATCTTAAATACCCATTAATGCTCATGTTCACACAGAAAACAATTAAAAGAAGGTGTATTTGGTTGGTGACACTATATCAAAACGTTACTATATAAAAATAAAAAATAAAAAGGCATTTTTATTTTTACTGTCCTGGATGTATTGATTTTCTCTTGCACAAAGGAAAGCTACAAACAATGAGTATATTTTATTGCTCATCTTGAACTCAATACTTGTCGTTCCAATTCCAAAATAAGCCGATTTAAGAAGAACTGCAAAAAAGTCAACTTAATAGATGAACAGAAATCTAGAATTATAATAAATCCTTTCTTAGATCACATATTTCTTTTTCACAATCTAAGGATCTATAGCAACAAGCAAAAATGAATACAATAATAGTGGGATATTTTCTCCCTTTGATTAGAAGTGATTTATACTTCCTTGGTATTTCGGTAGCAGCTAGGCTATGCATCTTCCAAAACATTCAAGAAGGTCTACAAAATTCCCCAGCATTCTTATCCAGAACCCAATGAACGAAAAACAAAAAAGTTTAATTATACTACGAATTAAAAAAATGATCACACTTACGCAATTACAGAAAAGAGTCTTACCTTCCTGCATGAGGTTATTCTTGCAAGCCTTCCCATTGAAGTATGAAAATGCCCAGCTCTACCTTTTTGGTATTAATGGAACAAAGAGAAAAAAACTGAAATCTTCAATTGCCTTTATTTCTTCCGTGTTTTTGGCAAGAATTCAAGGAGGGTATTTAAAGTGCCTCTTAAAAAAGCCTCCTTTTTTCCCTTCAGGTAAATTTGCAGAGTCAGTAAAGCACATGTGATCATGACCAGCCAAGCAGCTGATACAGCAGCCGAACTGTAAAGAACATGAAAGCCCTCCAGCAGAACAGAAGTCTATCAAATGCTTCTGTGTTAAACTTTTATCTAGACAGATTAAATGCTAATATTCTGCGGTTTATCAGGTGCACAAAGCTGCACATCTTATGAACCCTATAAAACCATTTATTAACTGTGGTATTCCAGCAAAATACTTTTTTTTCTCCCAATTTCCCCTGAATTATGCGTACTGCCTTCCCTGCTCAAGCATGATTGGTTGTCTAAAGTACAGTATATAATCCCCTTCATTTCCTACAGAAAGAAGCTGCTCTGGATAAATCTTTCCGGAAGGTGTTCTTCCTTGTTAGGTTAGAATGACAACAACAGCAACAAAAAAAAACTAAATTGCGTTCAACTGTGCTGAAACCGTGGCCACACTGACATATAACAAATGAGCCATGAGTACATTATACACTATATGCGCTTTGAACTTTACGAAGAATGTTCAATTATACAGCATCCAGCAGTGTTAAAAGCATCAAGCAAAGTCTGTTTAACATTGTAGTATTTCTCTTTTGTAAGGACACATCAGCATCCTAAGAAACAGAATGTATTACTGACATGTATTGTACAGTTACAACTAATCCTGAAATCTCTTGTGGATCAAAAGAAACATTAGAGTGCAGTGTGGTGGCTGAAATGAAAACAACATATTGGTAAATTGTTGATTCTCACCCAGCAGGCTGACATCTTTATTTCACCTGCTTTCAATGATATTCATCTTTAAAATGCACTTTATAGTGGTGTGATGAT